ACCATGTCTTCTCTCAAACAATACAATATTTTGTATTTTACTCTTTATTTATAGATTCTAAAGCAGCAGCAGAACTCTCTCTCTCTCTCTCACACACACACACACACACACACACACACACACACGCACACACGCACACACGCACACACACACACACACACACTTAAACACACACACGCACACACGCACACACGCACACACACACACACACACACTTAAACACATGGGTAAGCACACTCAAACACACACAGTGTGAGTCTGTCTGTCTGTGGGTATTGGTGTGCATGTGTGTTCATGTGTGTGTCTGTAAGTTTGCGTGCATGTCTGTGTGAAGACTGTGTGTATAAGAGAGAGAGAGAGAGAGAGAGAGAGAGAGAGAGAGAGAGAGAGAGAGAGAGGGGGAGCAAACATCCCATCTGAGCATGAAGACAAAATGCCCATTACGATCAACTTTAATTTTAAAAGTTGACCCTTTTTGTGCAATATATCTCCTTTTTTAAGTTTAAGGTTTTAAAAGGGGTTTCCATTTTTAAAGAATTATTAGTGTTTCTATTGTTTTGAAAGAAATTAAACCCAGCAGACTCATCTGTAACGAAAATAACATTTTGTAAGGAATCGTGGTGAATTCAGGCGCTAGTCAAAATAATGAAATCAAAGAAATCGGCACATTTTTTGGCGGATGGGCAATTTTTTCCTAATTTTCTTCTTTTTTTTTCTTTTTTTTTGGGGGGGGGGTTCAACACCTTGTTATGTCCATATTTAAAATATATGTCTTTGTGGTTTTACTGAAAAACATCGATTAAAGAGACCCCAAAAAAATGTAAATTTGTAATTTTCAAGGACTATCAGACTATGTAAGTTAACAAACTTTGGCAGGCATTTTCTCGCTAATTTAACCTCTGAAACCAGGCGACCCTGACCTCTTTCAATTGCAAATGTTTTAATTTCTATTCAACATAGATGGATACTCTTTCACCAAAAGGAAGGCAAATGAACAGGCTTTAAGATTATACCAGTAACCCCATAGGCCCAAAAATTGACGAACGCCTGATTCCACCACGTCCTGACACATTTCAATCTAAAAATATTCAGCCAGGTGTGTCGCTGAAATAGGGCCTATTATACCACTTCTTAATTATAAGTGGCACGACGCGGTGGAATCAGGCTCTCGTTTATTTTTGAGCATACGGAGTTGATGGTATCATCTTAAGGCCTGTCCATTTTTTCGTGTTTTGGGTGAAAATAATATCCATCTATGTAGAATAGAAGTCGAGAAATGTGTGAATGAAGGGGGTGAGGGTCATCTGGTTTCAGAAGTAAAATTGGCGAGAAGATGGCCGCCAAAGTTGAGTTATTTTTTTAGCTTGAGAGTCTGTAGAAACTGAAATTTTACGTTTATTCTGCCTTAAATCAAAGTTTTTCAGTAAAATCCACACAAAAATGTGCTCTTCAATGGGCATGAAACGTGTGGAACCAAAAAACAAAAATCCGATAAAATCTCCCAAACCTGCGGGAAAATGTCAATTTCTTGACTTTCATTATTTTGACGAGCGCCTGATTTCACCACGACGCCTCGTAGATCTAATGGCATTACATAAATATTACATTATATAGAGCAACGTACAAAAGAACCCAACTCTGAAGCGTGAAAAAAGGAGAGAGTCGGGATGGTGCCGAAGAGAGATAGCCCTATTATAATATTACGGTACTTAGAGTTACAATTTCTTGGAATTACCTCCCCTCGTTGACATCAAATTGTGTGTGTGTGTGTGTGTTTGTGTGTGTATGTGTGTGTGTGTGTGTGTGTGTGTGTATGTGTGAGTGTGTGTGTGGAGTGCGTGTGTGTTTGAGCGCATGAAAAGAACTGGAATTGGGTTGAGTGCTCTTTATTTTCTACTTGCAGTACCAATGTTCAAACCAGGGCAAATCTTCTATATGAGGACGAATGTCATGTTCCCATGTCCTAGACTTTACACAGGTACTATCCCTTTTAACAAGGAAAACAGAATGGTCAATAGGAAAGAATACATGAAACCAAGTATGGAAAACATGGACACGTGTTTTACTCTCCCCCAAGCAAACAGAAAGTTTGTTTGTTATTTTTTGTGGTTTTGTTAGTTTTTTTATGGTTACGAGTTATAAGAAAAAATCAATGGTCCTCATTTTATATTATTTGTATTAAGATTCTTGCCTGCGAGTCTGAGAACATTGAACTGAATTAATGTAAAAATGGAGTTGTGGAAATGGAGCCCTCAAAAATACTGATTTTTGTACAGAAAATAGGCACCATTCTACCTTTTTACGCAATGCTGTTATTCTATTACATAATGTGCGTAAAGCTTGTTCTTACACTGTTGTGCTTTGAAAAAATTTTTACAAAAATACAAAACAGCTAATGAGTGTGTGAGACAGAAAAATGCTTGGCTGCTTATCTGGTTTTGGTTTTGTATGAATTAAACAAAATGAAACTGTAAAAACTTTGATGTCCTGTTTTAATTATTTCTTAATACAAACATGTGTATCAAGAGGCTTTTGGGGGATATCTGAGGAAGAAAGGGATTTCAAATCTCCTGTGCATGAGAAGACTTTTAACTTTAATCCCATAATGACACAATTATTTTTCTTTGTTATTTTATAAGGCACACCATTATAATCAGAACTGACAATACAAGAACAATGCCCTCAAGCCTAAGTTCAGTCACGAAAAATTAGTAAAAAGCAGGAGTCGGGGGCAAGCCCACAACTCTCACAGTCATACTAGGACAAGCTATGGCATCCCAACTCAACTAGTTAACGGGAAAAATTCTTATTTCCACCGGTGGATGACAACAGTTAGTTTAGTTTTAGTAAGAGTTTCATGGCACTTGCAACACAATAAGGTCGTATAACTACTGCCGAAAAGAATGGATGTGTTACAAGAGAGTAACATACAGTACACAAAAAAGGAGGAGAGATAAAGGCAATAGATGTTTGATAGGAAAAAAGGAGCAAACCACACCAGAGCACCCAACAACCACACACAGAGAACAGAGTTAGCATTGAGACAATTCAGTGTTGATGTTTTGTCACACACCATCATGTCATTATTGAGTTTCTCCCCCACACCCACCCCCACCCCCCACTCCCCACCCCCATGATACAGTTGTATCAAACCTGATCATTTCAATAAAATAAGCATTGTGAAATTATTTGGTCGCTTCTAAGCACAAAGGGGCTATCCCGAAAAATGCTGTTTTGAGAAAATCGAAGGAAAAGTTTTTGGACCCTTGTTCAGTTTCTTTAAAAGAAAAGGAGAGTTTTCTCTATAACCCAAAAAATATACACACTAATGAAACAAACTTCACCTATACCAGGTAAGGCAATGCTCACTTTTGGTGTAGGTTAAGATTTCTAGAAACCCCCGAAATCTGGGTTAGTCCGCTTGTCCTTAAAAGCCACCATTTGACCTTGAAACTGAAACCTCACTGAGGCACCTATTAAACACACTGGCAGCATTATTGAGTATTTTAATGAACTTCCATTACTTCCAACAATGACAAGGTACCTTCTTGGCGTGACCCTGCTCTTAATACAGTCCATAACGCACTTAGTGAAACAGCAGGACACAGGACAAAAAAAAGACCTCCCACTGCCACCCTCTAACCAATTCGTTCCTTTCATCCATCATCATACATCACATAAAAACATTATTTTCATAAAAACAACTCAGAGGGCAAAAGTAGCAGGATCAAAACTTCAGCAGAGCGCTTCTTTTATTTACACCTCATCCAGCTCACCACACCAAACTCTCCACTCTTACATCGGGCTCATCTACAGACTACACACCATCAACAATATTTTGACTCATTCACTCATCAAATATATAAATCTATGTACGGTATATTTCACAAAGGACAGAATGCAAAAATGGATGCCTGACACAACTTTCAATACTAGGAGGTAATTTCTTTCTTAAAAAGAGGGAACGGGAAACATTTGTTACACACTCTTTCCATAGTTGTTATATTCGTCGGTTACACACCCATTCCAACAATGTTGCATTCATATATCACATTCTCATTCCACAATTGTTACAATCATTTGTTACACATCCATTCCAACAACGTTGCATTCATATAATACAAACTTACTCCATAGTTGTTCCATTCCTTTGTCACACAATATACCACAGCTGTGATTACCACTTTCAGGTAGACTTCACGGGGATAATATTTAATAACTCCCTTCCAAATTTTCATAATTCCCTTTAAGTGGGAATCATAGTTAAAAGATAAGGAGGTCTCTAAATTATGTATTACAACAGAAATCACTTAACTGTCATTGTTTCGAGATGCTGACTGATTGAAGCTACTTTCTGTAAAACTCGAAAAATTATTTTGTCAATTCTTCGCCCGACTACAAATTTATGAATAGCCACCACTATAAAGACTAAGCAAGTGACTTAATGGAATGACAGATGACCTACTGAAAAATCACAAAACGTAGCCTACACTGCAAAAATACATTACAGCTGATATCAGCTCTCCAGCTATCCAAAATTGGTGACATTAATTTGAATATATACCGATGACGGATGTGAACTGCACTGTTCATGCTTTTAATCATCAGTCTGGTTAGAAATCAAGCAAAGAGACATAAAACCGAAAACGAGAAATCTAAAAATTGACCAGACTGAAATTTCCATTGATGAGAGAAAGAGAGAGAGAGAGAGAAAGAGAGAGAGAGAGAGAGAAAGAGAGAGAGAGAGAGAGAGAGAGAGAAATAAATAAAGAGAGAGAGAGAGAAATAAATAAATAAAGAGAGAGAGACAGAGAGAGACAGAGAGAGACAGAGAGAGACAGAGAGACAGAGCTGTTAATTGAAATGGAAAAATATTTAGTGCACCCTTTTGTCTCATCTAATTTCCTTAAGAACGAACTGAGGGATGAATTCCACAGCCACATATAATTTGTTTCAATAACTGCTGTCGGAAGAATTCATTTTGACTGCTCCTTTGTTTCTTGAGAATCTCATACGCCAATACTTGAAGTTATTAATAAACTTGATATAAATGTGAATTACCCAATTCGTAAGATTGCTTGTAGGAATTAGTCTTATCTTTAATATATTTTTTGTTCCTCTCAAATCAAGCACGGTTTCAATGATGACATGTTAAGTTCATTATCAAATCAAATGCAAAGCTGTTGAGGACTATTCTATTGAAGGTTTTACATGATTTCCCCACAATCATTAAGTTTTTAAAATACTTCAATGTGTCGTATATTGCTATTGAAATGGCACTTTCAAGGTGGATTTTGGTCATAACTTTAGTTACTGCAGCATTCCATTGAAAAACATCATGTCGGGGTCAACATTCCAGAGGTAAACTGTTGCAACTCCACATACAAGACTTCTGTTGTGGGATAGTTAAAGCTGCAAATATGTCAGTCTTTAAAATGCCATAACTAGATAACAAAGAGGAATTCCAATTTTTTGGTACCGCTAAAGCATGCAGATGTGTGTTCTACTCACTACTCACCGACTTCAAGTTTGACTCTTCTGTCTTGGCTATTTTAATCTATTTAAAGAAATCAATCAGTTTTTTCTCTCTCCTGGAAAATTGCAGTTTTTGAGTTACGGCAGTTTTCCAGCAGGGTGACGATACACGAGTTGAAAATTGGAGATGTAACAAGACAGTAACAAACCCAAAAAAGGAGGAGAGATAAGGACAATAGATTCTTGATAGGAAAGAAGGAGCATACCACACCAGAGAACCCTTCAACCACCCAAAAAGACACATTCTGTTTATATATCAATAATGACAAAGATGTCGTTGTTCTCCGAATCTTTGTGTACTTGCATGTTGGAGTAAGTGATGGCCTTCACCTCAGTCCCCTGAAACCAAACAAAAAAGACAGAATTCTGAGCCAACAGAGGTTTGAGATTTTTACAAAATTCCACCCCACTTAAATGACCCGCCATCGAAACACAAATCCGACTACAGTCAAACTCGGAAATAACAGGACAGATGGGACCGGCAGTTTTTCCCTGTTAAAAGCGAGTCCTGTTATATGGGAAACTACCTGTCCCGTTGCACTTTCAGCTTACTACATGAGTAAATATTCGATTACCACAGATCCTTTTCCAGTGGGCTGTTTTACTGACACTGAGACAGAATTGATCAGTGACCCCAACACTATGGCGGGGTATGTATTTGAAAGTTTGTTTATTTTTAGGCAAGTGATCATACAACCAGGCGAAATGTTTTGGTCGAGACAAATTTTCATAATTTGACGGATTGAAATCAAATTCATCAGCTGCAAGATGACTGTTATATCTGAGTTTGGGCAAATTGAGTCCTGTTATAGCCAGGTTTATATTACTTACACTTAAAGAGAAAAAAAATGGGGATTTGATTTATCACTGTTACATATCCAAGTTCCTGTAATAAGAGATGCTATAAATGGACTGGACTGTATGTTCCTAAATCCCCCATCACTGCCTAATACTTTGACTTTCACATCGGCTACAATTGGGAATTACTCATGACCATGATTAATTGTAAAGGAAATCTCAGTGAACTACCACAATAAGCACGACTTTCAGTTTGACAAGTTGTTCCATTTTCTTCCAACATTCTACATGTCTCTGTCAAGCTAGGGCAGAAAAAAAAAAGTACAATCATTTGAATCTGAAGCTTTTCTTAGTAAATTTGTAAACTTTTCCTCTTTGAACTAAGCTTAACATCCAGAGAGCATAAATCTTTCCAAGGACAGCAATCCACAGAGAAAATAAACTAAAAGCCAATGAACGACTGGTCTGGTCAAAAAGAGGAATCAGACGATACTGGGGATTTAGATCAAGATCTAAGACAGGAGCAAGGAAAAGAAATGTGCCACAACACTGTGGAATCAGACGCTCATAAATTTTTTGACATGTATGGAGTTATAGGTATCATTAAAAATTTTGTTCACTTATTTTGCTTGGATTTTTTTTAAAATACCATGTATCTTGAATAGGAGTCGAGATATTTGTGACTGAAGGAGATGGGATCGCCATACTTCAGAGGTAAATTTAGCTAGAAAAATGCCGCAAAAGTTTAGTGACTTCCGTAACTGAAGAGCCCTTGGAAACAAAAAATGTACATTTTTTGTGTACTTAATCGACATCTATCAGTAAAATCCATACCGATATGTTTTTAAATGGATATGAAAAGTGTTGATCCATAAAAACAAAAATTCGACAAGAAAAACTGCCAAACCATCCGAAAAATGCCTGTTCCCTCAATTTCATTATTTTGACGAGCGCCTGATTTCACCATGTTGCCTCACAAATTTCAATGATGTTGCTTTCTCCATCTTGTCAGTATTCTCAGTTCAAGCTGTCGTTAAATATGACCTAAAATGGTACATAACCTCACCTGTGGGTGTTTGCTAATTTCGAAAGGCTCGCCATACCTGGAGAAAAAGAATGAACATAGCTTACATTTTTTTCCATCTTTTTTTGCTTGAAATTCTAGAATCTGAGAGAGAACTTCAAATACTTTCTTCCACTGATACCAAAGAAAAGAGGTATATAACTACCTTTATTTGTGGAAATTAATAAATTTGCCTTTATGTGAGAGGTGGAACTTCCATGAAAGTGAAGACAACTTTCAATTTATTTTTATTGTATAAATTCAAAGGAACCTGCTTGTTAGCCGCCCCCCCCCCCCCCCCCCCCCCCGGCCTCCCATCCCCCAATCCTCTTCAGCCTGACTCGGCCAAGTGACAGAAATATGCAGAACACAAATTAAACATGTTGTTGATAAGTATGTCATTAAGGACTTATGCTTTTTTCACGAAAGTCTCTTCTGTAGAATCTGTGTCTTATGTGACGTGGGCCAATGGTCTGAAACTTTGAAGAAACACTTACTTACTTACAACTTACTTATTGATCACTTAATTATTGTTTTTGAAAATCAGTACACAATGGTAAAAAGAACAGTATGAACTAAAATATATATGTGAGGCAGCGTGGTGGAATCAGTCTCACGTTAAAATAATCAAAATGAAGAAACTTGCATATTTCCGCAGGTTTATGAATTTTTATGAATTTTTTGTTTTTGGCTCAACACCTTTCATGCCCATTAAAGAACTCATTTCTGTGTGAATTTCTCTGAGAAACGTTGATTTAAGGCACAAAAATGTAAATTTTCAGTTACAACGGACTCTTAAACTAAGGAGATAACTAATCCGTGGCGGCCATTTTCTCACTAATTTTACCTCTGAAAACAGGTGACCTCCACCTCCTTCTTTCACAAATATCTCGACTTGTATTCAAGATAAATGGATATTTTTTTAATCCAAATAAAGACAAGTGAACTAGATTTAAGATTTAAATACCAATAACTCTACGTGCCCAAAAATTGACAAGAGCCTGATTCCTTCACGCTGCCTCACATATTAGAAGTCAGTGAAAGGCCACTTAGCCTCTTTCTAAGACACCCAAACCAAAACACCTATAACATAACACCGTGCAATGTATTTCAATCTGTATATAAAATACATCTTTTGGTAGACATTCGACAATAATTGAAAGGAAAAATCCCACATCACTCACCCTTCTGCTTTCAGTCTGAAATTTTCAGCGTCAAACTCTGTAATCTTCACCACCTGAAGGAGGACAAAAAGTATTCTCACAGATTTTCAACTTAGGCTTAAGAAAAAGAAGCATGTGAACTCAATAACTGATGGAGAAAAGAATGAAAGTAAGGCAGGAATGGTAAAAAAAAGAGTAAAAACCTACCATGGACACCATCCAACCACCCACTATTCCAGGCTCTTACAGAACAAATAAAAGTTGACACCACAGCCTCTCAATGTCAGCGAGATTATATCTTTACTATTTCCCTTGAATTTATTACTGGATCCCTAATAACGAGAATTCTGCTTTAACGGACATTTCGCACCGGTCCCCTCCCTCTCGTTATAACAGGATTCCACTGTATCACAATTTCCATGTCTTACTTTTTTCCACTGACACCAAAGCGAACAGATATAAAACTATCTTTATTTGTGGAAAGTAATACATCTGCCTTCATAATCAGAATCACAAGGTAGTACATGTAGCTGGTAGAAAATGATAGTAATTCCCAGATGATATCTCTACAATAAGTTAAAAACTGATGATAAGATTTGAATTTGAATCCTAAAGTCAAAATATCAAGGACACTATAAATAAAACTCTCTTCATCATTTGTAAGTGCCTACTATTTATAACAAATTATTTCCCAACAAATCTGTAGTAGGTTCAATATTTTAAAACTTTACTATTTGTTTCTATAATCTCAACAGTCGAATTATGAAAAGTTAAATCTGATTAGACGTATTTACCCAAATAGCAAATAACACGGGAAAATTTTTTACCAAACAAGTCTGTAGTAGTCAGAGGTAAATAAACAGTCATATCATCAGCTAAAATAAATCCCACGCTCATGCCCCCAGCATGAAATAGTATGATCACAATCAGTGAAAAAAAAAATTTTGAACACCATGTAGGCTACAACTCTTGTTGACAGACAGCTGATTCAAGAGCAGATAATGCCAGGCCTATCATGACCTAGGTAACAAAACAGACTACTCCAAGGGTAGGATCAGAGAGAGATTCTAGTTAGAAATATAGACAAGCACATTGACACCACAATGCCCATCTAAGGTAATGTTTGTTTTAGTAAGTGTTTTATGGCACTTGCAACACAATATGGTCGTATAAGTGCCGAAGATTAGAGGCGTTACAGGAGAGTAACAAACACAAACAAGAAGGAGGGGAGATAAGGATGATAGTTGTTCGATAAGAAAGAAGGAGAAAACCACACCAGAGCACCCACCAACCACCCACATCTAAGGTAAAAGAAAACAGAGATAGACAAACAGTAACAATAAAAGGAAACAAACAAATAGAAGCTACCAGTGAGAAGCATCCTCTAACAAAGAGAACAACATTTCTGAAGCACGCTGACAAAATGAGTTACTTCTCAGATTCGAGCCCTATGGAAATAGATACATCACGCTTAAAGGTCAAGTTTTTTACTATTCATAAGTATGAAATAATAGACAATAAAATATCTACAAATTTGACCCTAGTGTCGACTTTTGGCCAACATCTCCATTTGTGGATTGTGAGAAGTAACTCATTTTGTCAGCAAGCCTCACATTTTAAAATTTGCTGTCAGAATTCACTAACTAGCATATATTATTTCTTCCACCCACTCCACCTACCCGAGCTATGAGGAATGGCTCTGCAGAGAAAAGGAACAGGAACTCGTCCAGAAAATGGTACAACAGATTCAGCATATCATCAGCTGTGGATTAAAAAAGAGTTGCAGTTTAATATGAGCTTTCATGATACATTAAAAGGAAACATATTGTCAGAAAGCAGGTAAGGTCGAAAAAAGTCCAATGAAAAAGAGAAGTGGATAGAGCAAACCACATGAGACCATCTATCAATTCAACTTACTTTTAGTAAGAGTTTTACAGCACTTGCAATACAATAAGGTCATAAAAGTGCTGAATATTAGAGGTGTTACAAGAGAGTAACAAACACACAAAAAACAGGAAAGATCAGGATGGTACATGTTTGATAGGAAAGAAGGAGCAAATCACAATAGAGCAACCGCCAACCACTCGCATCCATCAATTCTCCACCCCAAGTCACTCATGGAATTAATTCATTACTTGGTCTTACTACAGCAAATACAATATTATACATGTGTAAGAAACTGAAAGAAAAGAAAAATGTTGAGGTATATTGTATGATATAGACAATGACTCTGCCTCAGAGCTCTTCATGTACACATATATATGAAGCAAAATTACGGACGTATTACAGTAAAATGTAAACACAACAGACCATGATGTCTGCAATGAGGTAAATGTTAATATTTTCCACACTTGTCGAGACAATTCAGATCATTTATGAGACAGCCTGTTCTAACCCTGCCTACTAGTGCCAACTCATTTAGCTACCATCACATTTTAAACAAGTATTTTTTAATTAGCAACACATCGCAACCTCGGTGCTCTCTTGTCGTATCTCCATTTTTTTTTTTTACATTGAAAATGTGACTTCTTCTTAAGCTCACTCTTTTTTATGAACTGTTTTCACTATTTCAAAAAATGGATACGACACGAAAGCACTGAAGTCCAGACACGCTGTACTTTTAAGATTAAAAAAAGGAAACAATTGGAGCACAAGCAGTTGCCTACTTTGTTTTTTATTTAGTTGGGGGTTTTTTATTAAGAGTTTTACGGCACTTGCAACACAATTAAGTCATTTCAGTGCAGAAGATTGGAAGTGTTATAAGAGAGGAAAAACCACCCAAAAAAAGAAGAAGAAATAAGGACGATAAATATTTGACAGGAAAGAAGGAAAAAACACACCAGAACACCCGCCAACAACCCCAATTACTTCAACACTCAAGAGCCTACCTTGGACTTCGATCTCATGCACCTGAACCATGTCCACCCGAGACAGGTCTGTGGTCATGTAGCCAAACATGGCCATGGCACACTGAAGCAACAAAAGGAGGTTGAAGTTTGAGTCAGAGTATAGTCAATATTTTGTTTTAGTAAGTGTTTTACGGCACTTGCAAAACAATAAAGTCATATAGGTGCAGAAGATTAGAGGTGTTACAAGAGAGCAACAAACACAAAGAAGGAGGGGAGACAAAGACAATAGGTGTTTGATAGGAAAGAAGAAGCAAACCACACCAGAGCATCCAGCAACCACCCACTTAGTCAATGTTTTGAAAGAGTTATATGACACTTGCAACACACAACGGTCAAGAAAATTCTTTAAAAATATTTAGAATAATTTTTTTGCAAAATCCTTGAAAAATATGATGTAGAAATAAGTTTGTATCATTCTCTTTGTTTCAAAAAGTCTTACAAAATCATAAAATTTAAGTTCTTCGTATTTTAGTTTCACAAAATTTCAATAAAAATTAGGCTCAAGGTATATTTTGGGCGAGATAACTCAGATTATCTCTACGCACCATTTTCTCAGAGCCACAAACACAAGACATTAGAAAGATCACGTGTTAAGTCAAAATAATAAACAGCTTTTCCTCACCCATCAGGAAGTCTCTTTTAAAACTTTAATAAGATAATTCAGGAAACAAGATCTACAATTTAATGTCCACCTCCAATAACTAAATTTGTTGTTGAAGTATACAAAGAAAAATGTAACCATTCACCTGCTCAAAGCTTTCCTTTAGGTCTGCACCCCCTGAGGAACTCACTGTAAGGGAAATTCTTCTAGTTTTAGTAGAGGTTTTACAGCGCTCGCAACTGCATTAGGTCATATGAGCGCCAGATGATTAGAGGTGTTACAAGAGAGTAACAAACATAAAAAAGAAGAAGGAAAGATAAGGACGATAGATGTCTGATAGGAAAGAAGAAGCAAACCACACCAGAGCACCCGCCAACCACCCATTTCTTCAAATTTTGACCATTCAGAAAAACTTACAAAATGGCATCGAACAGTAGGATGAAAATATAAAACAGGAAGAAAATACAGAACAAAATAATACTATAGTTTAAATTCTAAAGAACTCGATAAGTGTTAAAATGTCGTTGTTTCTTTCACAATCCAAGAGTCCATTTTTGTTATTTTATAGTAGAGGGTTTTAAGGCATAAGGTCATATGAGCGCCAAGGGGTGGGTGTCAACGAAGAAGTCTTTACAGGGAATCAGACTTAGACTGCTCACCTCTCTAGCTTCAACAGCACAAGGTCTGCTTCGACTATCAAGGCACCCCGGAAATAGCAGATGACAAGAGAGTGACAAACATACAAAAGAAGTAGAGGAAAATGACAATAGTAAGGATCAGGAAAGAAAAAGCAGCAGTTCCCTGTTGTAGATCAGGCACAGTTATGAGCGTGACATGAATCAGCCCATTTACAATTCTACTATGCTCAACCGAGAAATGTCCCCCTTTTGGGAATGGCCTAAAGACACAACAGTCAGTGGCACTGCCCCAGGGGGTCAAAAGTCCATGACTTTTAGTCTAAGACCACATGCTTCACAGTGGAAGCCCAAATCAGTTGGTCCTATTTGATATTTGTCACGATGCGGTACAAGAATCAGGCGCTTGTCACTTTTTTGGGCATCTCGAGTTATTGGTATCATCTTAAAATTTGTTCGTTTGTCTACCTTTCGAAGAAAAAAGTACCCATCTATCTGGAATAGAAGTCGAGTTATTTGTGATTGGAGTAGGCAGGGGTAGCCTGGTTTCAGGAGTTCAATTAGCAAAAAAATGGCTGCCAAATCTTGGGGACCTACAAAGCTTGAGAGTCCTTGGAAACTAAAAATTTATTTTCTGGGGGCCTTTAATCAACGTTTCTCAGTAAAAATCCACAAAGAAATGTGTTTTGAAATGGACATAAAAGATGTTGAGCCAAAAGAACAAAAATTTGATAAAAGTTGTCAAACTGGGCGATATACATACTGTCACTGACATAAAACTCAAGGGGGAAAAAGTTGAAATAACAAAAAGGGCAAAAGTGTGGCACAAAAAGAGAAACTAGCATAGACACGAGACACAAATGAAAAAAGAATGACAGCATTTGGCCTTTTTGATGCACCTTCAATATTTTTTTCCATCATAGCTACAGGGTGCGTAAACCCAAAGTTGGGTTGGGGGAGGGGAGGGAGAAGGGGAAGGACGTGGGGGAAGGGGGAGGGGGTACCTTATTGACTACTTGAATAGACTTAATTCAGTCAACAACCAGCACACCAAAATAAAGGATACAGGAGTGAATTCTGAAAAAGAAATGATTATTAAAAAAGTTAATGAACAGCATGTTGCACATTGAAATGCTATCACAAACAATTTTTTTATCAACACTAGATCTACTTCCAAATATTCACACACTTCCTCAGACACCTACATAGATCTAAATAACAAGATGATTTACATCTTCATTACAATTACAGGAATACTTATATGTTTTAGTAGAGGTAATACGGCGCTTGCAACTGCATAAGGTCGCATGAGCACCAAAAGGTTAGAGGTGTTACAAGAGAGTAACAAACATAAAAAACAAGAAGGGGAGATAAGGATGATAGATGTTTGATAGGAAAGAAGAAGCAAACCACACCAGAGCACCCGCCAACCACCCACTTACAGAAGTACAACAACTGAAGAAAGCATTTAATTTCATTCATAAAACTACTTTTAGAGCTAAAAGACATGAATGAGACCACCGTTTAAGTAATACTGCACTTATTTTATTACTATGCACAAAATGATACTAAGCACTTAACTGGAAACAAGATCAGGGAGACAAGAATAGTCTTAGTCATTAATAAGTTAAAATTGTAAATAAATCACACCATTTCCCCACTCACTGAACATCTGCAGTATGGTCCAAATCTGAAACGACAGGAGAGACAACTTTATCACCAGCACTCATAAACTGAACTTTTAATATTTCAAAATATGTTTTGCTTTCTTTTAAAATAAAGAAGAATATGTTAACAAAATGAACCAGTCCACTAAACCCCTTCTACTTAAAAGCAAAAATGACACAAAAGGGAAGACAGGCAGTACACGACAGGGTTGTTAATAAATCTCAATCCCCATCCACCTGCAAACCGCATAGGCATAGAGTACTCCAGATCAAGCACAGAGAATTTCCAATGCTAGAAGAAGACAAGAAACTACCTACAAAAAGGTCATTTCATATTGCCATGGTTGCTGAAGTTGAAAAAAAAAAGTGCCCACCTACAACCCTCACGTAGCCTTTTTTTTGGTAAGTGTTTTACGGCGTTCGCAACTGCATAAGGTCATATGAGCGCGCGGAAAACATCATGTATGGTGTGAAACAAGTCTATCCTACCACCCTGTAGCTGTGATATCATAATTAAAGGAAAGCTATCTCCGGAAAAGTGACAAAGAAATGAGTTTTGAGTGGAAGAGTAAATGTGTCATGACGCAGTGGATTCGGGAGCTCATCAATATTTGGGCAGACGGAATTATTTATATCATCTGAAAGCTTATTCATTTGCCTCAATGAATGCGATTGAAGGAGGACAGGTCACCTGGTTTCAGAGGTAATACTAGCAAGAAATGGGCTGTCAAATTTTTTAAATTTCAATTGCTTATGACTCCTTGAAAACTGAAAGTTTACATATTTTACATACCTCCCTCGGTCTTTGTCCCTATCTCTATGTTTTACAGTAAAGATCACATGAAATGTGTTAACAGGTGGACATAAAAGGTGTTGAGCCTTTTAAACAATTCTATAAAAATTGCCAAACTTGAAGAAAAATACCTGTTTCCTTGATTGCATTATTTTGATGCGCGCCTTATTTCACCATGGTACCTCACAAATGGTATCACTCTTTCTTAAAAAACAATTTTTTTATACTCTTACATCTAAAAATTTGTTGGTGCTTGTTCTTATAAAATATTTATATTATATTTCAAACCTTCCACTCATATTATTAGATCTCTTCAGCTGTTAGAATGACAGCTGCTAGACAAAGTCATAGTTATTCCTGTGGCATGGTGTTATAGTATTACAGATAGCTGATTATCTTTAATCAACTCTTTTTCGTATATTTTTTTTTCTTTACCCCAGACATTCTTTGTATTGTTCCCTGTTCATTTCTGTCTCTCACTCATCATAGAAAAACAACAGTTACTGTCAGCCGCATTTACCCTGAAGGGTTGGGACCAAAAACTCAAAATACAAGGTAAAGATTTTATCTTAGAGAGATCCAAATTTTTCTCACCTTCTATTTCACCCACAGTCCTTTCAGAAGACCAAACACTCAACCTCTCAAACATTATGAAAAGACTCTTTATTATCTCAATACAGTCAAACTCAGATACAACAGGACAAACGGGACCGGCAGTTTTTCCCAGTTAAAGCGAGTCCTGTTATAACCGTTATCACGGAAAACTACCAGTCCCATTGCTGCTTTGCACCTTCAGCTTATTCAATTACCACAGATCATTTTCCAGTCGGCTATTTTGTTGACACAGAGATGGAATCGATCAGTGACCCCAACACAATGGGGTGGGGTAGGTGTTTGAAAGTTTGTGTTTAGTCAAGCGATCATACGACCAGGCGAAATGCCTTGGTTGAGACAAATTTTAATAATTTGACGGATCGAAAGCAAGTTCATGCGCTGCAAGATCACTGTCATATTATATCCAAGTCTGTGCAAATTGAACCCTGTTATAGCCAGGCTCATATTACTTACACTTATAGAGAAAAAAAAAGGAGTGATTGATCACTGTTAGTGTTTATCCAAGTTCCTGTATAAAACAGGCTGAACTGAGAAAAAAAAAATACAGGACAAGATTTAAAAAACAATGACTAATAATTCTATTCTAACTTACATTCATATTTGATTTCTGGCACAGCAGGGGCTTCTCCTTCCATAAGTAACCTTCCTTCATTTTCATCATCCATCTTTCGCCGCCTGTAAATAATAAACAATTAGGATAAATTACGTAGTATACTAGTAGTGATTTGTTCCCAAATTCTTTTCTCTCTAGCTGGTTTTTTTTTTTGGCTTAACTGACAGTATAATAATACACCTAACAACAAGTTGTGATTTAGATGTAGGTAACAGTCAGTTGGCACTATCTGTCCCCGTCGTTTTAAGCAAGAAAAATTCTGACATTATGCAAACTGAGCCCAAAAATGTGAAATTACGCGATTTTGTTAATTTTACAAAGAATGATAAAGGAAAATAATCCGAAATTAATTTTTTTTAAACGATCATATTTTGCTAAATTATGCGGGGTGCATAAAACCACGGGGACAGCACAATACAGGTCAGCCAAGCTGTTTCAAAGACGATGCTGTGTCATATATAAGTATCAGAGCATCAATTCAGTACCTTCCACTTCCTGGAGTACCATACATTGTGGGTCCTTTTCTTTTCGAAAACTGCAAAAATGCATTGGTCCAAAAAGAAGAAGCACATCATTCTCAAAAAGAAAAAGAGCCACAATGAACGGAACTCGCATTCATTTATAAAGGACACCCATGTCCAAACATACACAGGAGCTTAACTCTTTGAGCGGTGTTCACGACATAAGTCGCGAAAACCTTCTTGGTTCCCTCAGCAGCAGTCGCGACTTATGTCACAATAACAACAATAAACACAGGGTGGTAAGTTTTCCGATTCACCGCAAAGTGCCTGAGAGAGAGAGAGAGAGAGAGAGAGAGAGAGAGAGAGAGAGAGAGAGAGAGAGAGAGAGAGAGAGAGAGAGATAGAGAGAGAGATAGAGAGAGAGAGAGAGATAGAAAGAGAGAGAGAGAGATAGAAAGAGAGAGAGAGAGAGAGAGAGAGAGAGAGAGAGAGAGAGAGAGAGAGAGAGAGAGAGAGAGAGAGAAAGAGAGAGAGAGAGATAGAAAGAGAGAGAGAGAGAGAGAGAGAGATAGAAAGAGAGAGAGAGAGAGAGAGAGAGAGAGAGAGAGAGAGAGAGAGAGAGAGAGAGAGAGAGAGAGAGAGAGAGAGGAGGAGTAGATCTTGTGAGAACTTTCGAGCAAAACAAAATGGCGACCGGCGGAGTTCGGCTCGATTCAAAAAGTTAAACAGCCGTAGCATCTTTGTAGATGATCAAATTAGGCTATATATATATATATATATAGTTTATTTTCTGAAATTATTTTTTTTTAAATCACATCGCACAAAACCGACAGCCGTGGCCTCTTCCCACAACAAGCCGAGAGTGTGATATCGCTACGCGCAATCTCATTGGTCGATCTAATTAACTTTGCCCCCGGCAAAGTCAACTCAACTTGGTTGTTCTGTTCAAACTAATGATCCAGGGAGGGCCAGTTTAGATAGATCTCTAGAATCTAGACTCAACAGTTACGAAGGTAGCGTAAACACGACCTCGCGGGCACTTGCGGCCTTCCGACCGCGTGGTATCGGTGAAATCGGGGTAATTCCGATCGCTGTTTCTTTGCTCTTTCACTATAAAACACCAAACAGCGTACACCTTGTAAAAGTTCAGCTTTTCCTCGTTACAATGGTGTAGGTTGTTTTTATGTCCGATTAGTGAGCTGGAGAATCGCCGACGAAAGCGAAGCCCCTCACGGTCGGAATGCGTGGTCGGCCGGTTGAAAAATTGACACGAGTGCATTCAAATGCTTTGCGGAATGAGGGATGCGTCTTTTCATTGGCGGAGAACTGTAGAGCTTTAAACAGGCTTTCCCGCGGTATTTATTTGGCCTTTGGCATTTAAATAGAGAAAGCTTTTAAAAATACTGTCAAAATGTTTAAAGATCACTTTTTACACATAATATGTAAAATACCGGCTTAAAAAATAGACTAAACAAAAGATCAGCTCATTTCCTATTAGAATAAAGTAATCAACATGGAATTATTTTTCATCACTCCTTCCGCGAGACTCAGAAAGCATGTGACCCCGCACGCTGGGTACACTACAGTATAGAGCCAACTCGCTCGCAGCGGAGCCCGGTGCAGCGCCGGCCGGGCCAACGCTCGGTGTTTTTGTCGAAATAACGACAGATCATCGTGTTTGAGGCGATAAAATACTGATTTGTAATGATCTCACAGTCTTGAAAAAAATTAGGCTCCATATATTTGTTATAGTGATTGTACTCTGTTAATGTGGAGATGTTTAGTGCTCTTGGTACTCTTTTATTGTCTCTCAAACATGGGGTTGCAGCCAGTGACTGACTTAAACAAATTTGATCAAATTTTAAACAACTACCATTTTCTTAAAAATTGACTAAGAGGTTAAAGAATGGTACCAAAATGCTCAGTAGGCCTTTCAAATGGAACAGATAAATTTGGCATACAGCTACTTTGAAAATTTAGTTTCTGGTACCTAGTCTAGTAACTGGATATTTAATTTAAAAAATTAAGCTCATGTCTCAATTGTTGTCATGATAATCGAAAAAAAATTTCCGTAAATGCTGGAAATATTAGGAACAAGGGGCGAAAGTTGGAAGGGACGGCATGCTGGACTCATTTCAGAGTCTGAATATAAGTTTTCTCTATTATTCGGACTCGAGTCCGAATAGTCACTTCGATAAACCTAACCCTGACTGCCTGACCCAACCCCTAACCTTACCCCAAACCCTACCTCGAACCCTAATCCTCTATTCGACTCTGTTTCTTAGTGTTCGCTTGTTACGGAATTCCTCCCAGCCTATCAATCATCTCAGACTCAGAGTAGCAGGACTCCTACTTTCACTTTCCATACAGATCAATGTCAATACCAATGAGATTGTTATAAAAAGTTTATTAAAGCAGGTGACAACATTGCTGTGGTTCAAGTGTGAATATATCGACTTAACAGCACATGAAACAGGAACAGGACCTTACTATTGTTTATTCAGCGATGACTTTTATAAAATAACACTACTGTCTTTCGATGACAATCTGTGAGTAACAACCGTGTCTTACACTGTCTTGCCGTGTGGTAGTGGTGGTGAAATACAACAACCCTAAATTATTTCATTTTCCTGCTAAAATTAGAAGAAAGAAAATCTTTAATAAGTTATTTCTTTGCTTTCTACTTTTCTTATCTTGATGGGCACATAAAGCTAAACAACATTTGGTCCTTCACTTTATAATTCATTATTGAAATCAAAACTAAATAGAATACTCAAGTTTTCAATGATAATGACAATTATTGATGATGAAAAATAAACGCGTAAATAATATAATTTTTACTTAATCTGGAATACTAAAAGTAAATACTTCGTGAAGATTAGTTTTGTTCATGCTTTTGTATTCGTAGCTCTCGTATTTCGTTCAAATAGGTGACATTTTTTTAAAAATTAAAGAGCCTTATTGA